TTCCTGATTGGCGGATTGTGTCCTTCGCGATCCGAGTGGTTTTTCTCTCGTTCTCAGGCCCTTTCGCTTGGGGCAGGTAGGTCGGGGTCTTGTCGGGGTCAGGCGGGTCAGTCGGCCATAGGGGTGTAAAAAAGAACGTGGTGCCCTTCTCTCTCGATTCAAAAATATAAAAAAAGTGCCATCGTAAGCATTGACCTTTTCACGTCATAGAACTTTTGCAGTATTTTTCTCTTCCTTTAGCTGCATGCAATAAATACAATGCCAGGCCGGATATGTACGCGGAATTCGAGAATCAATCATTGGTGCCAGCATATTGAGCAGCATAGCGGTCGTCAGAATGTCAGCTGCACTCCTAAAAGTACCAATTCCGAGTTAGTGACTGATAAGAGAAATAACGAGGTTTTTCTCCAAYAAGACATGGTATGGTCTTGGTTTTATTAAAATTAATGATACGTAAAGCTAGATTATAAATAGATAGATAAATAACAGTTGGAACGCAAGTCGTTAGTRTAAATGATATAACTAGCTAGGTACATGTCGGTAAACTACAGATGGAGATTTCCTATGATGACACAGGTTAGCTAGGCAAATWAAGCATAGTTCTCAATCGATACAATGATTCGCCGATGCGATGCTAATATGTGGTTTTTACCACTGCAGTGCTTGTCATTCTTGTGATTGACTGTCTAAATGATTTTGCTAATGCTGTGCGCGTGGTTTCAAAGTACAAAAATTTCATCATTGAATGGCTTGTCACGTTTATAGTTTCAGCTGCATTTCYAAACTGCTTGCTACGAGTGAATGGTTGGATATATAGCCTTTTTGTTTTTTAAAGCTTGTTGTCTATAATTTCTATAGAACTTACGTCTAGTTTTTKGGGGAGTTCTATACTTTCGAAAAAGCCGTCGCGCGTTCCCTTTTGACATACATGAATATCCGCATGATCTGTAGCTTTGTTTGTTCACATGTTCACCGAATTCTAATATAATGACTTTCAATAATGAGCGCAATTCATTCATCTCTTTTTTCCCACTCAGTTTTAGTAATTTCCAAACGAAAATCTCTTTAAGTGTCTGCACACAATAGAGATAATGCAATCTTCAGAAGATAATGATTCATTTCATTCGGCATTCATTTCATTCTGTTCTCATTTTTTGACGAAATTCAGTTGATAAACAAATAATTATGGACTATTTTGTACAACATTTTGCTGCGCTGTATTTGTATAACGCTGTATGTCCGTACACTCCGTGTGGCGGCTTTTTCTGAAGGYATAAGCTCTTCACTCATGATAAATCACTTGTATTTTTTGTCAAAAAATTGTTTGCAATACTCGAACCATTTCTACAGCTATTGATTGTTCTTTGTAATATGTATTGTAAGTTTTGACARGCTGTCATAAGTTTTAATTGCATTCTCTGTTATAATGTTCAATAGTGTTCTCATATGGACCGGTTTAATTGCAAGCGCTAGCAGTGATGACCATATGTACTTTTGCGTAYTTTTGCCATCTACTGATACAATGGCTGGGATGTAGTCTCGTCCAGTAAAGAATAAATTGCGCATTTTATCATTTTTGTTGCCCAGCTTGTGATTTCTTATCACCAGTGTTTGATTTCCCTCCTATTTTATGCTCTGACAATGACATTCTTACTTCTTGAGGCGTCCTGCGTTTGTTTGGACGAAAAACCTTTATAATCTCATTCCTGACATCTTTTCGACAGAGAGCATACACTATACAATTAGCAGCTGAGTTCAGGTGGTACAGCATTCGCGCGATCGCAACTATTTCATCCGGCGCGTCGRTAAATTCAACGTAGTTTAGAAACCCCTTGTAGGCAGCTACTGCATAACATAGTATGAATATCAATACAACACAACCAACAGACCTCACTGAACCTTTAGGGCGAAAATGAATGCTCACCGGGCAGTTATAATTGTGCGATAACTGCTCCCTTTGATGTTGAACTCTTTTCATTTGYTTTCTTGCAATGTACGCCATGTGCAAATATGTAATAATGAGTAAGAAACATGGCATTACTTCAAGAAGAAGTCTCACTAGCATCTGSAGCATAGCAAATGCCTTGTGCTGGTGTGCTATCAAAGCGATATAGTACGGTAAAGGCACTATTACGGCAGTGAACCAAGTGATTGCCAAGATAGCATACAGTAGTCTTGTGYTCATGAACCKCTGGTATTTTAGAGGATGGACAATCGCAAAATGTCTATCGAATGTCATGGTACATAAGTTAAGAACTGAGGCATACARACATACATCGTACAATACTTTAATCTTCCACCAATCGCATGTCTTGATCAAAACACTACATATAAACTCAGGCACAGCGACTACAAAAGTCACAGAGAGATCGGCTACGGCTAGTGATAAAATGAACCAATTGGATATGACTTGTAGACGCTTAGAGCACGCAATAATGTAGATAACCACACCATTTCCCACCCATCCAATAAGGGCGATAATGCATCGTAGTGACCAGTACCACACTTCGTCAGGTGTAGGAGGCATTATTGGCTTCTTATGTGTGCTATTTTCCATGGTGTATATAAYATATAGATTTCTCACGAATATTGACGTTTTTTCACTCTCTTGACGTTTAGTCTTACTGAATTTTCGCCGTTTTGCTTGTATTCGAAGGAGTTTACTTAACCAAATCTTCACACTAGAAAAACCAACAGACGCACGCTGAATGTTGTTCCAAACAAGGGATTATCGCACGCAATAACCACGAACCTTCACAGCAAAGYCGACTGAATACCTTTTGATGATAAAAACCCGTGGAATATCGAAAATAATCACCGATTCCACGATGCTCACTTATTCATGTCAACCTTGGTGTGTGTCGMCAGAATGTCAGTTCACCAGGCAACCAATTTAAATGAGGAAGTTGGTTTAATATAATCAATTAACAAAGCCAGTCCAACATCAGGCTTAAATGCGCAGTTGAATAGATTGTTTTCTTGGAGCGGATGTCGGTCTAGTGAAGATAATTCTAAAAACTGATGTGATGCATCTYGRTCTGCCGTTCATGCAGTGAAAGTAGCACCTGGCCTTGGTTAGGCTTTAATGAATTTCTCCAAACTGTCTGTTCATTTACATGGTGATCGACGCAAGGACAAAAGAAAGTTCTCGGCAAAATCTTAATAAATTTGAGCACCTTTTAAAGTGCACATAGGGATTTGAGAATGTTGAATGATTCGGGCTCAATCAATTTTTATACAAAGCATGCATGACGCTGAAATTTCCCATTGGATGATAATTGGGTGGTTTCAAGAAACCCAGGGTAATTAAAACCCAAATGTCTCTTTTATGTCCAAATAATGTCAGGTGTATCGCAGTCACTTTGCCAACTATCAATGTCTTCTCGCTAGCACGTCTCGAGGCCTTATTACTGACTCGCAATTTCCAATCTTCATGTTAATTGCTTATGCCAATAAAAGTGATAGYAATGAAAATAGATAGACGTCATAGCTTGTTCTTCTAGGAATTAACTATAGAGACTATTACAGCCACATAAAACATTATTCTTGCGCCAAGCCGAACAAGCAGTGATGAAAACAATATCAGCAAATAGTGTCAAAAGAAAAAAATATTAAAAACAATTGAAAAGGAAGAACAGTTAGACTAGGACGATGTTTATCTGCCTAAGGAAGTCTTTAGAAGARCATTGACAAAGACATCGTTTTCCAATTATAACTTTGACATCATCAATAGGCAGTGCTTATGAAAGAGAATAAGATGATGGCTTGTGATAATGGACACRAAAAATAGCAATGAGATAGGTTGGGAAATTAAGGAAACGTTTAGTCAYCGCAGTTTCATAATTACTGTTGAATTGCGTAAGAGCGTTTATTATTAAAATCTGTCACATCGCGTTGAAACATCTGCTGAACATTGCAAAAAGTTTATAGTTATAACGCTCCTACATAGTATATATAGTAGGGATAGATTTTCCGTTGTATGTCCCTTGTCCTACAGTCGCGGAGATGTCAGTCTCATACGTAAAAACGAGACGGCTGCCGAGCAATAGGATCATTTTTATGAACGTTGTGAGGTCTTATAGCAAAGCGCATTTGAAGGACACAATTCAGCCAATCAGCAGCCGGCTTGTAATACGCTATGCAAGCATCCATGTAAAGTTCATTCTCCTTGACGTGTTTCACCTGTTGTTAACTTAGTTACGATGGAAAGAAACTTAAAACGATAAAGATCCTAAAGGAAATAGATTAAGGAAGTAGAAAATTATGTCAATCGAAYTAGTTGACATAACAAACGCTGTCAAAGTAAAATGTCATCATTATATCTAGCAATTATGCTACAATGTACACGGATATATCATCAACTATGGATATATGCACAGTACTCCAGAAGCAGATTCGTGCTTAATTTTTACTGTTGTATTTTACTGTGAAACCTAGCAAAATGAGACTATAAGCCTGATAACTTGAAGCGGACTACCCCGTTTCGACGAGCTGAAGTGGTTTTTCTTGCCCCCTGGGGCACATAAAAATAACAAAAGGGCGGCCAGCCCTAGTCTCCTCGCAGCCGTTCTTAGTGGCGGGCTCCCTGTCCCCCGCCCCACAAACGGCTGCTTCAATCCGAGTTTTGATCGTTTCTCCAATCACAGTTCGGCTTTCATTTTCTTGCAGCAGTTCCCGCCAAAATTATTGACCAATAGGAACTCGCGTATTATAAGTGCGATCATACTGAACATGGCGGGTGACATCGCGGATAGTGTTGTGTTTGCTTCTCAAAAATTCAAGATATCGTGCTTAAATTGCCTCAAGAAGCTTCCCATTACAAAACTTATAGATGGAAATTGAGATGTGTTTGTTAATTTACATACTGGTTTCGATAGATCCTTTATTTTTTAAGCTTTACTTAAAGTTCTCGATGATTCAACGAAACGTCCAGGATACTTCGCAGCTCTTGGTGTTGACATGTGGCACTCTGACTTCCGTCATATTCCCTTGTAACTATTGCTCGTGGTCGTTTCTCTTGCTGAACAAAAGACTGTTTAAGCTCTTTCCGTGTCTTCTAGTTTCTTTGAAGCGCAATCGTATTATTCAAGCTTTGAAAACATTGTCTACAGACAAACAAATCTGCATCGGCAGGATACGTGGTTACGTCAACTTGCAAAGAATCTTTTTATAATTTTAAATGATATAATTTTATTTTTATCTGTACTTGTTTTCCCAAACTAGATGTAAAACTTATCTTTGCTAATCGGCAGGGAAGAACAAGTAAAACATCTTGACTGATTTCTTGATATATTCGGATGAGTTTTAACGGTTTTACGAAGTTTGGCGCAAACAAAATATCAACTTTCATTACGCTGCATCTCATTGGCTTAGCGGTAACAGCGGGAGTAGACTGTCATGGTATGTGATTGGTTAATTCAAATAGACCCCCAAGAAGGAAAAAGACAAAGGGAAACGATCAAAGCTCGGATTGAAGCAGCCGTTTGTGGGGCGGGGGACAGGGAGCCCGCC